GTCTATCTCCCCATCCCTCTTTTCTGCTCCTCTTTTCCCCATCCCCTTTCTGGATTCCTGTTCCTCTGTCAAGCTGAAGGTCTGGCATTCCTTTGTCAGGCCTTTGAGGTGCCAAGGGCTGGTGGGTGCTCAGTGGAGTTGATCAGCAGTGGATGGAAGGTGCTGTTGATCTGCCTCGTTCGGACTAAGTCTAACATCTCTCCACAGACTTTTGTTGCTGGGGCACAGGGCTGTGGATGTGCACTGGGGGAGCCGCAATGGGCCAAGATGGTATGGGGAGGGTACGGTTGGCAGTGAAGAGGCTTGTGGGGAAAGTGTCAGGAAGACAGAGATCAGAGTCTCCGAGTACTTGGGTGTTAGGGCAGGTGCCCGTAGTAGAGTAGTCTGGAGTTGCTGTTGTTGTCTGTCCTCCGCATCAGTGCACTGGCTGTCCTCTGCATAGGCTGTTACTGCTTCTTGCTTGCCTGTGCCCAGACAGGGCTGTCACGTGGTGCAGCTTGACTCATGAATGTGATACTGGCATAGAGCCCGATTTCCTGTTGGAGTTGTCTTTATGTAAACAGGTATCTTCTTGCATTAGCCTCATTCTGTTCCTCTTCCACCTCTGCAGCAGCAGCTTGCACTTGACTCAGCCTTCGGGCATGCTGTGGAGTCGCAGGGCTTTCTAGCAGGGTCTGTTTGACTTGAGCTACTTGTGTATGCATGTCGTGGTTTGTCCGTTTGGCCAGTTTGGGTCAGCTGTCCTGGCTGTGCCCCCTCCCAGCTTCTTGTGCACCTCCAGCCTTCTCAGCCCGTAGAGCATGGGAAGCTGAAAAGTCCTTGGCTAGTGTAAGCACTACTTAGCAACAACTAAAACATCGGTGTGTTATTAACGTTACTCTCATACTAAATTCAAAACACAGCACTGTACCAGCTACTAGGAAGAAAATTAACTCTATTCCAGCCAAAACCAGGACAGTGTGTTAGGCAGCCTATGGAAGTGAAGCGAAACCTTGCTTTTCTCATTGTCCTGGCTACGGTCTGTTTCCCATTAGCTTAGTCTCTCTAGTGCTTGGAGTTTGAGAGGATCCTTTCTGAATGGTCTGGAGGAGACAAAAAAATTCGTCTGCCATGGGTGTTGTGTGCCTGATGTTTCCGTGGGAGAAGTGCTAAGTGAAGAAGCATAGGTGGGGTGTGGGAGACAAGAGGACTGGAGTGCGGGCTGGCTTCCTTGCTGTCAGGTGAATGAGAGGGGTGTTTCTGGTGGCAGCATGCTGAGTAGGCAGTGCTCTTGGGCATGGCAATGGATGGTTGTTTGGGAGTCTGAGGTCTTAGCTTTCCTTCTCTTGCCTGTGTTGAATGAGAAAGTGGATAGGTGAGAGGGCTGCTTGTTCCCTCTTTCTGTGTTACATGTTTTTTCATGCCAAGACAGACAAACAAACACTTATGACATTGCAGTGTCTGTCTGCACTGCAGTTTCCCTGAGGAGTACCATCACCAAAGACTGAAGACAGCCGGGTGCCTGAGCGGTTAGGTAGCTTGACTAGAAATGTTCACAATGTGGTTAATAGGCTAAAAACATGTCTAGTTTACATCATAAATATTCCCCTGTCTGTAGTGTTTTACCCTCGTTCTGGACACTCTGTGTGCCATCTTCTGGATAGCACAAATGTTTGTTGGTACTGCACATGAATTAGTGCTCACAGTGCAGCAGGTAGGTTCAGTGGAAGTGCAGCTTAGTACAATCCTATGTGTCGCTTCTTGCATATGGTCACATTTGAACCGTGGCTAAAACCAAGCTTATAAACAGCAACTGTAAAGTGTTTGTGACGTGTCTGACAGTTCTGCTGCACTCACAAACAAAGGGGGAAGTATTTTAAGCTGTGAGCAGAAATTCCTTGGCTTCTCTTTACTGTTTTCCTGCTTGCACGTGCTTTGTTTTTTCTTGCATAAAACTGAGGGTTTGGAGGTTTTCTTGTGCAGTTTTTTGTTTAGAATTTCTTGTTGCTGGTTTCTCACTCAGGTGTTGCGGTTTCCTTGTTAACTTTGTGGGACTCGGTATTTATCAGTCAGGATTCACAGTTTACACATTTACTGCTCAGGGCATAGGTTTTAAAATTTAACCTCAGCCATAAGTTGTAAAGCCCCAGCAACCATCTGGGTTCTGAGATTTGCAGTTTTTCAGCTAGAGTTCAGGGTTTACAGCTTACTATTAAATAGACAGGCTATTTAATATAATGATGTTAATCATTAATTAATAATAATTAATGATAATAAACATAAAATTAATGACATAATAAACTTTGTGCTGTTGATCCCGGAGAGAAAGGCACTCACACTCCACAAGGTATTGATTAAAATTCCATTTATTGAACTTAACGCCAGAAGGAAAACACGGTTAGTATGGATAGTTCTGTGTCCTTCAGATGCTGGAAGCTCTGATTTGCACAGAACCAGAGGGACCTTCAATCAATGCACAGCATATCGTGCAGATCCCCTCTGTAGGGAGGTTCCACCAACGTCTTGATCTTTAGAGCTCTTACTGGATTTTCTTAGAAGAAAATAATTCTATTCATAATTTCTGTCATCAAACAAAAGGGTGTTCATATGCTTCACTTCACGATAAAGACATGCAAATGCTATAATCACCAGTGCTAAGTGGGAGCTGCCTACAGGCTCCTTTGTTACAGTTAGCCAGCTAAGTTTATTTTATTAGCAAGGGATATGCACAGCACAACGCAGGCTGGAAGGCGAAGCTGAACGTGCAGCATAGCACAGCTCAGGCCTGCACCTTCTCAGGTTAAAACTGTTACGTGGATCACTAGCTCCTCGATCGTACAATAGTCTTCTGGTTAGGATCACTACAGTAATCTTCCAACCACACAGCATTCAGCTCTGTGCTCTGATCCAAGGTCTCAGTTTGGTATTCAGGCACAACGCGCTGAGTCAGGCTGCTGAGGTGGTGGGCGACCTGAGAGCTCTGCGAGTTTCTTGCAGAGTCCTAGTCAAGGGGTAAGGCAGAGGAACAAACAGGTGAGGTCAGGCGTCTTCCTCTCAAATACCAGAGCTGAATCCTATCCCCCCCAAAAAAAGCAGGGGGGGAGGCTCACAGCTGCTCACCAATTTTCCGCAGCAAGGGCTGCAGTAAGAGCTGACCCTTCCCCACCAGACTGATGAACGCTGCTCCAGTAACGACTCTTAAGGGGTCACAGGGGAAGGGTGAGCATACTGGCACCAAGCCCCATGGCAGACTCACTCCCAGGTGTTAGGTGCATTAATAAATAATTGCTTTATTATTTACACTTGTGGCTGTAGGTCCTGCAGTCCCTTTACATTCAGTAAGAAGTGTCTGAGGACAGTACCCATGGGAGGGAGGCTACCTACTGCTTCTGAGGGAGTGGGAGCTGGTCCCAAGGTCTCTTAGACCGTTTTTTTTTTTGGGGGGGGGTCCCAGAGAACTCCAGCACTGTTCACAGGGCTGCTGGGGATTTATGGACTCTCGGGGCTGTTGGTGGCATTTTCCATTATCCCAGGGGCAGCCAGGCGCCCCCCAGGGCTGTGTGAGGTCCCCAGGCTGCTCCCGACTTTGCCTTCTGCACCCTGAGATGTCCCCAGTGTGTCTGGGACAGAGGGCTGGGGTCTGTGTGGATGGTGCTAGAAGACAGGGATTCTGCCTGCCACTGGGCTTCTGCTTTTGGCTGGCTATGCCCCCCAAAGTCATTGGTTTGCCCTGTCATCCTCTAGTGTTTCTCTTCTTTTCATTGCACCCCATAGCTCTCAATTTGTTCTTTTCCCTTAAAACTCATCCTTTTTCTTTCCAGCGCACTCCAGGGCTGCTTCCTTTTTCTTCAGCAAGCTGCTTTCAGGAGCCGGGGCACGCTCTGCTGCCCTGGTAGCCCCAGCTGTCCCTAATGGGGCTGATGGTGACGGTTCCTGTTCCTGACCAGCTACAGCTGTGGGTTGGGAGGTTGGGGACAGAAGGCCCCAGGTGCAGCCAGTGGGACTAACAGCAATGGCCCCTCTACATCCAACGTGCTGTAGTTGAGCAGGGGCTGCGCAGCCTGGGGGGGGCTGCGCCAGGGTCTATTTGGGACAACGGAGCTACTGCCAAGCGTCACCTGCTGGGACCAGGGCTGTGACCACAACCGCAGAGAAGGTGAGCTGAGACTGAGGGTCCCTGCAGCTGGGAACATCGTGGGCAATGTGAAACAAATGGTGGGGCGGCCAGCGTGCTGGGGCTGCAAAGGGTTGCTGGGGTGACGGGTAGCCTGGAGCCCTGAAAAGGGGAAGGTGGTGCACCAGGGCAGTGCACTGGGGCTCACCTGTGACCGACCCTGGTTTAGCTCCTATTCTATCCTAGACACCCCTTCCCCCCAGCTCCCTGGCACGGTCCCAAGCTGCTCCAGACCCCCACCCTGTGACCCTCCCCTAGGACTGCCATGACCTCCCCCTTTGCACAGCTCCAACCTGACCCTGATCCCTCCTGGCACTACGCTGACCCTTCAGGGAGCCCCCACCACCCCTCTCCAGGAGATCCCCTCCACCTTCCCAGTGTGCGGCCACCCCTGCGGTGCGGTAGCAGACAAGGCCCACATAGCACTTCCCTCCTCTTTTATTTTATAGATGAACTGCCATGGCTGTGAGCCCACGTTAAAGACGAGATGATGTTGATCAACTAAGGTGATGAACACAAGATCCAAGGTATTTCTGCCTCCCAAGAGGAGAAGCCGTTTCCTCTGGCAGGGAAGGTGGCTTCTCTGGCCCCGGGGCTCGCGTCGGGGGGGCTGTAACACGCGGGAAATGGGGGATGACTCGGCACCGGGGGGAGAATAAGCCTATGGGAAACCGGCATCACCTGCACCTCCTGCGGCTCGGCTCCCCGTGCTCGTCACCCTCGTCTTCTCTCTCCTCCGGCCTGACTCTCTATGACACAGCCCTGTAACCCAGGGCAGCCTGGCCCCGCGCCCCCCTTCCCTGCCCATACCGTGTGTGCGCCCCCGGTGCGGGGTGGTGGGAAGGTTTGAGGGGGCGGGAAGGGAGGCAGCAGCGGGATGGCACCGTCGGCAGGACTGGGGCAACCCCTGCCCCGAGGCTCCGCCCTCGCACCCAGCTCTCCCCGCTTCGGGAGGGGGCCGGACACACCGAGGAAGCCCTAGGACGGCTTCTCACGGCCGAGCGGAGAACAGCACTTGGCCCCGGTGGGCAGGGCCCGGCGCCGAGTAGCAGAGCAGGCACCAGCGGTAGCCCGGAAGAGTGGGACCGGTTCGGCTCGAGATAC